GAAAGTGCTATCTCTAGGCTTCCTTACTGAGGAGAACAGTGCCATTCGCTGTTTGAGAACTGGAGAAGGAAGAACTGGGGCAAGAGAAGAAAGCAATTCTCTGGATAGCTGTTACTCTACAATGAAGTTAAAAACTGAGAAATCAAATATGAATGGGGTTTGTTGAAGAGTCCTGTTGAAGAACTGTGGTTTTTATTTTGGGCATGTATGAGAGTAACATCCAAGTCTAACAGGACTGGAAGAAAGTACAATAGTAAAAAGGTCTGGACTGGAGAGTATAATACCACAACTGTTCTCTCCTAGCCCTATAGGTGTCCAGATGCCTATAACAGAAATGCAGGAAGACAATGAAAGAGCTGTTTGAATAAAGGGCTCTGTACTACAGAGGCATGTACTAAGGGAACATCAGCTGCTATAATAAGTATAATTTTAACTACTCGCTACTAAAGTTTAGTTCTTGCTCGAGTACCAATATGAGTGTTCCTGGTTGGCAGAAGCCTTTTATGTGATGATTCAGAGAATTTGGTTCCTACTCTCTCCTGACATTGCCACTGCCCCCAGACACTGGAAGATAGAGAAAGCACAATAGTTGAACATCTTAGCAAGAACTAGTCACATGGCACAGACACAGGAATTGTGGAGGAAATGAACCCTTAGGGAGGCTGCTGCTTCTTAGCAATATATACTACAGAAGGGAACACATGAATAGTTGGTACAGTAAGCCATCTCTTCACACAGGCATACAAACTGGTTCACAAGTCATGAAATATGTCATTAGTGGGGAAATATAATGTTCTCCATTTCTAGATAGAACATAGCATCAATCTTGGCACCAGGAGGGTTCTAGCAGCAGAGATGATGACACTTGATTAGCGATGGCTGCTCAGTTGATAAACAGATGATTAAGCAGATGCTCAGGGGTAGAAAGGATTCTGCTTTTTCTTTTTCTAAAAACATATTTGAGGTATCTCGGATTTCCAGAAATATTAGAAAGTCATTTTAATGGAAAATGAGGTCCAGCGTGAACATCTGGGGCCAAGACCAAGTGAAGAATAGGCTATCAATGTACCTCGAATTCCATGTATTTGGGTTAGTATAAAGGATACTTGGATTATCAGTTTTAGACATACTAAGTTTCACGTGTCCATGGAACATCCAGGTAGTGATGGAGAAGTACCTGAAGATATATACTCAGGAGAAATTTATGAATTAAAAGTAGAAACTTAGGAGTCACAATACAAGGTATCAGCTGATGTCAAAGGAGTGAATAAGATCATGAAGTAGAGTAAGAAGTAAAAATAAAGAACATCAAAACAGAATTATGGGGGCCAGCAGATGGCAAGGTGGCCAAGGTGCTGGACTTCCACATGTATGCGCACAGTTTGAATCCTGGACCTGGTGGCTTACTGTCTCACTTTCCCTTTCTCTCTCTCGTCAAATTAGAAAAATAACAATAAATAAAATTAAATAAATGCTTAAAATTATTATAAAAATATAATTATGAAACCATTAGTTTTTGGTCTAAAGATCTCTATTGCCAGGCTAGTCATAGAGCAGCACTTAAGTGCTGTGCAGAGGGAGCCAGATTCTACAGGGCCAACAATGGTTCAAATCCTGGCCCTGGCAGCTTGAAAAACACACAGGGCATGTGTGCATGTGTGCCCCAAATCCTGATGAAATGAAGAAATGGAGGGAACAAGGATGTGCATGACTGTACCGCCTTGGAAAGTACTTTCTCTCTCTCTCTGGCAAGTGCACGTGTCTTCTGGCAATTAAAAGCAGAGAAACAATATTTACTACTAACACTATAACTTACATGCAGTACAACGAAATATTGGGTCACTGGAAAGTCATGATGTATTTTTGTTTTTCTATCCAAAATATGTCATGACATTTCCCAGCAACCCAATTCAATCCCGCATTATCTGCAAGATCATGTACTTATCTACTGATGAACATGTTAAGTGTTTTTGACCATTTTGTCCACTTTTAAATATCTATATCTAGTATACTGCAACTGATAAAGCAGTTGTAAGACATATATTTTTGCTTCACATCTTACTGATATGCCCTTGAAATGTTTTTTAAAGGCTTGGTAAGTTTTGGAACTCACAAAGCACATAGTTGGGTCTTATGACTATAGAATACATTTAACTAAAATAAATCCCTGCTAGCATTTTTTTCTTTTACAAAGTAAAAATAAAGATGAGATCATGTGAACGATGTGAAGAAGGGAGAAACTAAATGTCTCACTTTCCCTTTCTCTCTCTCGTCAAATTAGAAAAATAACAATAAATAAAATTAAATAAATGCTTAAAATTATTATAAAAATATAATTATGAAACCATTAGTTTTTGGTCTAAAGATCTCTATTGCCAGGCTAGTCATAGAGCAGCACTTAAGTGCTGTGCAGAGGGAGCCAGATTCTACAGGGCCAACAATGGTTCAAATCCTGGCCCTGGCAGCTTGAAAAACACACAGGGCATGTGTGCATGTGTGCCCCAAATCCTGATGAAATGAAGAAATGGAGGGAACAAGGATGTGCATGACTGTACCGCCTTGGAAAGTACTTTCTCTCTCTCTCTGGCAAGTGCACGTGTCTTCTGGCAATTAAAAGCAGAGAAACAATATTTACTACTAACACTATAACTTACATGCAGTACAACGAAATATTGGGTCACTGGAAAGTCATGATGTATTTTTGTTTTTCTATCCAAAATATGTCATGACATTTCCCAGCAACCCAATTCAATCCCGCATTATCTGCAAGATCATGTACTTATCTACTGATGAACATGTTAAGTGTTTTTGACCATTTTGTCCACTTTTAAATATCTATATCTAGTATACTGCAACTGATAAAGCAGTTGTAAGACATATATTTTTGCTTCACATCTTACTGATATGCCCTTGAAATGTTTTTTAAAGGCTTGGTAAGTTTTGGAACTCACAAAGCACATAGTTGGGTCTTATGACTATAGAATACATTTAACTAAAATAAATCCCTGCTAGCATTTTTTTCTTTTACAAAGTAAAAATAAAGATGAGATCATGTGAACGATGTGAAGAAGGGAGAAACTAAATTATCCAGGGAAGACACTTAAGAATTATTTTAAAAATGCAAACGCTGGTAGAAAAATTCAATAGGAGGAACACAATAATATTTAAGTTCTATATTACAATTAAAACATTAATTTTTATATTAAATTGGCAGGAAGATTTAGAGAGTTCCTCAGTTCTTAGCAGAAGTCCAAACTGCCATCAAAATAGATGTGCTCTGATGGTTGAAATAAATACTATACCAAGAAGATTAAAGCATTTTCAAAATCAAGAAATGCTACCACTATCTACAAAGCTGAATCATTTTCACACTTCGACAACTGCACCTGGTGCTCCATTCACTAGTAAGTAGGAAGAATAAGGAATAACTAGGACTCAACTCCAGCTGGGTTTGGAAATCATTAACTAAAACCTAATGCAGCAGCTGTTTGAGAAAGAGAATTATTGATGCTGAAAACATGCTATTATTTCACCAGCATTTGATGAGCATCATATTCTAGAGCAGTGGGTCTCAATTTAAGTATGCATCAGAATCACTTGGTGCATTTGTTAAAATACAGGTTCCTGCCTTCAGACCTCCCCACCAGTAACGAAGTCGGAGCCCGAGAATTTGCATAGTAAGTTCCCAGGTGATGCTGATGTGCTATCACTGCAAAAGACTTGAGGCAAAATCTAGGGGAGATCCAGATTGCTTTGCAAGCTCCAAAAAATTTTGTTACATTTTAAAGAAGCTTAAAGTGGAAAATACAGACTAAGTATTAAAGGTTCACTTTATATATAAAAAAAGATAATGTGGAACTTCCATAAGAAGATCCATACTCAAAAAATATATTCTTTTGCATTTTTGATCTGTGCACAAATGAATGCACACTTACATACTTTGATGTATTTAAATACAATTCCTGAATGCAATAATAAAACAGGGTCTTAATACCAATGAATAAGAAGAGTTCTCAGTGTAAAAGCAAAAACACTCCTAAAAAAGATGGATTAACAAAGCTAAAAAGTGGAAAAATAAAAATAATCTCACCATCCAAATTTAACTATATTTAGGACCATTTCTTTACTTTTTCCTATTTTTAAAAAAGTTTATTTATTCTGAGAGAGAGAGAGAGACAGGCACCAACAATAGTGTTTCCCCTGTAACTCAGCTGGCACAGATCACAGGCAAGACAGTGTCTGCACACAGTGTTCAGGAACGTCCTAGGACATAAGCCCAAATCCTTTCCCATATGAGCCCAACTGTGTTACAATCACGCCACCACTTGACCCTTCCCTTGATTTTATTAAACACCAATTCATAAGATACATATTTGTACCTTGCTTTTGCTTAACTTCATTAACGTGATAAACCTCCCTAATATATTATTGAAAACATTAGCATTTTATTTTTTTAACATGTGGTCAGAAGGCGCATGCACTCATCAGAGAGACACACACAGAGATGGAGAGGGAGAAAACACCCTTCACGGGAAATGATCACACTGCAATCCTTTCTCTTCCCTTTCTCCATTCTATTGGGATTTGGGGAATGCACACACATGCACACACACGCAGCCCAGGGTGTTTCTCGAGCCGCCAGGTCTGAGACTCAAACCACAGGTTGGGCATGTGGGATCTAGCTGTCTTAACCACCTGGTCAAGGAGCTGGCCCAAATCATTATTTTAAATACCTGCAATCTGGCACAGGCTTTCAAAATTACAGAAGCAATGCATACACATCTTGATGTCTAGCTATGATGAGGTACAAAGAGAATCATTCAGTTTTTACTCTTCTTAAACTGCTAAGTAAGAATTAAATATAAATTAAGAACTAAAAATTGGATTCCCAGTTAAGACATCAAGGGCAACAAATAACCACTACTTAACTTTTAAAAACAAAGAAAAGAAAAAAGGCTTGACTTACTATTTCTCCTCTTTATTCTCATTTATTATTTCAGTTTATTCTCTTCTATAAGAGCAGCTTTCAAGAAAGACTAAGACACCCAACCAGAAAATTACTGCCATCAACATACTTCACTCCAGTAAAAGCAATCACTCACGTGCAGTATTTAAAAGAAGTTTCAAAAACAGTCCTAACTTATGCTTTAAAACAGAAATATATACTGAGCAATGCCTGATGCCGACCTGCTGCTGCGTCCTATGTTTGTATCCTAGGGAATCAATAAAATGAAGATGAAAAAGATGACAGGAATGGTAATGGTGTCGACTAGGAAGCTAAGAAAAAGAGCTGTAATATCCATAACTGGGGGTACCACTGTTTGCTTAATGGCTTTATTTTTTTTTAATTTTGCTGTTCCACATTAGAAAAACAATGCCAAATTTAAAAATTATATGATGGGATAGGGCTGGTAGTCGATACCACAGAACCTTTCTCCCACATGATGTCTTGACCAGTTGAACTGGATAGGGATTCGGAGTCCAAATTTTCAAAGGCCCTATATACATTTTAAAGTGTTTTCTAAAGACTTATTTTTTATTTATTATTTTGATTTTAAAGCATTTTATTTTAATTGCTCATTGACATACAAGGACACTTCAAAATTTCCAAAACAAATATTATTTTATAATCCTAAAAAAACTTAATCTCATAAAATATAGTACAAGTAGTCACCCAGCTAAAAAATTATATAATTCATATATATTTCTTTATATATATTTGTACATATATATAGAATTTCTATATATATTTATATATATAATTTCTATAATGCATTTTGTGGTTACATATATACATTTATTGGTAAATACTAAAGAAACAGACTTGATGCATTTAGTAAAATCACATATTAGAATCATTCTTTTATATACATAAATACACATATGCAGGGGCCAGATGGTAGTGCAGTTGTGAAACGTGGCACAGCAGTAAAACCTGATCCTCCATGAGGCAATCTCATATGGGAAGGTCCCTGGTTCAATTCTGGGGACCTCCCTGAGTATGTTAGGCATGCATCTGCCCCCATGATCTGTGGCTGACTAAAGGCAAGGTATGTGGTTTGCAAATATATCCACCTATTCTATTTGTCTTTTTATTGTTTCCTTTGCTGTGCAGAAACATGAAGTTGACATAGTCACAACTGTCTTTGTTTTGTTACTTGTGCTCCAAGAAATGACTGCCAAGACCACCGTCATGAAACTTTCCCCCTTTTTTCTAGGTACGTTACAGTCCTAGGTCTTGTAGTTACATCTTTATTTTTAGTTGATATGGCCTTTTTGCTTTTCATTCTTATTGCCGGAAGGCACATGTGCTTGCCAGAGGTGGAGGGAGTGAGCACCTCCAGTGGTGCGTGATCAGACCACAATCCATTTTCCTCCACTTCTCTGTCCTGTCAGGATTTTAGGTATGGATACAAGGGATTGTGGTGTGAGCAATCCCCAATGGAGGAAGCTATCTCCCTCTCCCTCAGCTTTTGTCTCCAGCAAGAAAACTTGCCATCTGGCAAAAAAAAAAAAAAAAAAAAGATAAAGTGAAAAGACTATACATGATATAAAAATTCTCCTGTACCCAAAGAAACTTGCACTATAATTTGTTTCCACAAACTTTTTGGAGTACTTGTATATATTAGCTAAAACAAATATCTTTCTACATCAATAGTACCATAACATGTACTTTTTTTTTAATCCTGCCTTCATTTATTTTTATTTGCCAGAAACAGATCTGATGCATTTAGTAACATCATATATTAGAATCACATGGGCTTCCCCTATTGGGGAACGGTCACACCACAATCCCTTCTCCTCCACTTCTCCCAGGATTTTGGGCATGTATGTACAACTGGCTGGTGTGTTTTTCAAGTTCCTGGGTCCAGGACTTGAACTGTGGAATCATCCATGTAAGATCTAGGTACCCTAACCACCATGCCACCAGTTGACCCCATCTTGCCTTTACTTTAACTTAAGTATATCTTAAAGGTCTTTCCAGGGCGTGGTGACACCAGCCCTATGGCAAAAACCTATGGAGGCTGGAGGATTGTGGCATCAAGTCCATCTCTCTCTCTCTCTCAATGCTCACAATTTTGGGGACCAGCAGTTAACATAATGGCTATGTCACTGGGCTCCCATGTAGTCGACCATGGTTTGAGTCCCAGACCCAGTTGCTTAAACTCATGCCATGTGCGTGTGCACCCAAGATCTGGAGAGGAAAATGGGGGAGAAGAGATTGTGGTGTGGCCATCCTCCCTGGGGGCTGATTTCTCGCTTTCTGTCTCTCTGTTATCTTTGGCAAGTGCACGTGCCCTATAGCAAAAACCTCTCCAAAAATAAAGGTCTTTCCATATCAAAATACAGAAACCTTCCCTGTTCTTTTTTACAGTAGCATAGTACTTAAAATATAATTTATTTAATCCTTCCTTTACTGACAGATACATATCTTGGTTTCTATTCTTTGGTTGTAACAAGAACACTCTTGTACGTACATCAGGTTATAGCACTTTGGAGATCCTTAAGATCAGTAGGAAAAACACTAAAGACTTCAGACACAAAAATCCTGTATCTTCCACAGGTTTGGCTAATACAACCTTCAGTACGTTACTTCTCTATGTATGAAATGGAGCATTGGGTGGGATTATATTTTTGTTCTTTTCTATATCTAATTTTTGCTGGACTTTTCAGAATACCTTTGTCACATATGACATTTTTAACTTTAGTTTATAATTTTCAACTGATTTTATTAAAGTGTCAAATTTCCATTTGATACTTAATTTTGAATTGTTTCATGAAAGTACCCTAAAATGCAGATGTCAGAATAATACAGAACAGTTAGTTACTTACATGCATTTTCAGTTTTGTTTTGTTTTTATTTTTTTTTGAGAGATTTTTATTAGAGGGTGCGTGTGTTCACCAGAGAGACAGAGACAGAGACAGAAAGTGAGAAATCATCCCTCGGGGGGATGGCCACACTGTAAACCTTTTCCTCTATTCTTCTTTCGGGATCTTGGGCACACAGGCACACGCACTCGGCATGAGCTTTAAGCCGCCAAGCCCAAGACTCAAACCATGGTCAATTTTATGGGAGTCCAGCTATGTAACCATTAAGCTATCTGCTGGTCCCACATGTTCAGTTTCTAAGATGGCTTTCTCATGCTCAGAATGTAGAGATGCAGTTATACATGCCATGTTCTCAGAATTACTATTCCACTGGTAATGATGGACTTTGCTCATCCATTCACTTATTTCACCATTTTTCTTAATAGTTAAAGATTCATTATCAGGTAACTGCTCAATATTAAGAACATAACATACTAAATAAATAATAATTTTAAAAATGAATACAACAAACTGCCATAGAACAAAACAAATCCACCTTGATCAAACATATGACTGTGATCTAACCAAATAAAATCTAACAAACTTTTTAAACTATGTTATTAAAAGGGCAGATAGGTAAGTCTATACCCATTGATTCAATAAAACATCTAAATAAAGTATCTCAATCACTAATTCTATAAATTATTTTCACTGTCATTTTTCTCCCATAAAAACAGCCAAAATCAAATTCTACTATTGGGTCATCAGAAAAGTTAATGAAGCATTTTTGCATAGAAAAACATTAAAAACTCTATCATGACTTTTCCAACCACCTAGTAGAGGAATGACTACAACAGTGACCATGGAACAAGCTCACAATCAAATGTTAAAAGAGAAAAAAGCTACATAAGTATACAGAGAAGGATCTCAACATATTAAAAAAATACAAGTTATACACATACACAGAATTACTCAATATATTGTCAGTGTAAATTGGCACAACTGTTCTAAGTATGATCCAGCAATATAAAGTTCTATTCTGTGACAATTTTATTTCTAGGCACCTACTAAAATAACGTTTGCTCATGTGTACAAGGAAATAAGAACAAGAACATTGAAAATGAATTGTTATAACTGCTAAAAAAGAGATATAACTTAAAAGTTCATCAGAAGAATAAATGTTGTACAGTAGTTAAGAGAATGAACTAGAATTATCATATGGTTAGATATTAAAATTGAGCGAAAAAATGCCAACCGCAGAAAAACTCATACATTATAATAACCATATCTGTAAACAAAACATAAAAAGATATTTTTGGGGTTTACTTAAATATGAGTAAAATATTAACCAAAAAATACTAGGAAATTACATATCCAATTTATACTTGTTGGGTTACTTCTAAAAGAGAGAGGGAAAATGAGAATTAAAGATAGTGGCCAAAAGAAACTTTAGTTCTATATGAAATGCTATTTTTTTTTTAAATAATACATTCATAGTTTTTATACAGATGCTCCTCAACTTATGATGGGGTTACATCCCAATAAACTCCTCATAACACACATTTAATACACCCACCAAACATCATAGCTTAGCCTAGCCCTCCTTAAAAGTGTTCAAAACACTTACACTAGCCTACAGTCGGACAAAACCATCTAACACAAAGTATATTATAAAATACACTCTGAAAATCTCATGCAATATATTTTATTCATAATAGCACATATGTAAAAAATTGGAGGGGTGGCTCCTCAACAGGATCTGGCCACACCATGATCCCCTTCACCCAGCCCTTGGGCACATACATACATACAACCTGGTACATTTCTGGTTGACTGGGCCAGGAATATGAACCTGTGACTGGCCATATGGCTTCTGGCACTGCAATTCAGTAGCACAGTGCTGACTGTACCCACTGTACCGGAAGTGAAAGGCAGATTGGCTATATCAGTACTTTGAGTTTAGTATCTACTGATACGTACAGCACTCACACCACCATAAAGTTGAAAAATTGCAAGTTGTCCATTTTAGGACTGTACATACACAGATGTATGTGTGAAATATGTGTGTGAATCTGTGTGTGTACATACATTTTTTAAGTTCCTTCATCCCTTCCTCTTTTTCTTTCGTTCATAAAAGAGAAAGAGGTACCCATCACAAGGTCTCATCACTCCCCTGGGCCTCTAGGCCAGTCAGTACGGCATACATGCTAACAGGTGTGCATGGGTACACCCAGCACGTTCAGGTCAACCCAGGATCAGGACCAATGTCTTCCATGTGGCTCCAGTGTCGTGCAGCAGCACTCTACCACCGTGTAACCATGGCTGGGCCAGACTCTACAATTTTGAGAGTATACCTAAATGTGCCAAAATGTTAATGTTTGATTAAATCTGACAGAATAAAAG